TTTGGCACATTTAAGGATTTTTTTTTTTTTTTTTTTGAGAGTTTTCTATTTATCACAAAACTACACAAATACAGCTGACCAGAGGTCTAAAAATCAAGTCTTCTGACACAATCCACCTGTAGATATAAGGAGAGCCGTGATCCTCTGACTCACACGGACCCTTCTTAGGTGAACTGCCTGGCGCTCAGATGGTGCAATTTTGAGTCTAGTATCAGAGAGGAGTCATCATCTGGGAAAATGGCCCCTTGGTCATAGCTGCTCTGGAAGTGGCAGCAATTTTGTGTTCCCACCACACAAGTCACTTAAGCATGATGCTAGTTGGAGGTTTTCCATAGATTGCTTTTTATCAAATTATAAATTTTTTGGAAGTCTTTATCATGAATAAGTGCTTTTTTTTTTTTTTCCCAAATTCTTTTCTGTGTAAATTGGTGTGATTATGATTTTTGTTTATTAGCCTGTGTGATTACATTTGTTGACTTGCAGATGTTGAAATAGCCTTGTATATCATAAATAATTCCCACATAGTCATGTGTATACTTATTTTTATACATTGGATTTAGTTTGCTAATATTTTATTGATTTATTTTTTTCATTTTTATTTATGAGAGATATTGGACTGCAATTTTTTATTTTATACTATTTCTGTCTGGTTTGGGAATCAGAATGAATATGGCCTCATAAAATAAATTAGTAATTATTCCCTCCTCTTGTATTTCCTGGGAGAGTTTTTCTTAAAGGTCACAGGATTTTACAGGCTACCTTCTTTTATCTTGTTTGAGTTTTGATAGATTGTGTTTGTTGAAGAATTGGATCATCTCTTCTAAACTGTCAAATTTATTAGTTAAAATTATTTGTAATATTCACTTATTATCCTTTAAACGGTTAGAGGATCTATAACAATACCCTCTCTTTCATTTCTAATATTAGAGTTTTGTGTCTTTATTTTTGTCAGTGTTTCTAGAGATTTATGAATTTTGTTGATTTTTTTTTCTAAGAACCAGCTTTTTATTTCATTGATTTTTTTCTTTTTTTTTGCTTTGAAATTTATGAATTGTACTATCATTATTAGGAGCTCTGGTGATGCAATGCCTAAGGCATGTACTGCTAGCCCGAAGGCTGGTGATTCAAACCCACCAGCCACTCTTCAGAAGGAAGGTTGGGTAATCTACTTCCGTCGTGATACTGCCTCTGAAACCCAAGGAGGGGTCGCTATGAGTTGGATCCCACTCCATGGCAGTGTGTTGCATTGCATTGCATACTATCATTATTATTTCCTTAATTCAACTTGCTTACTTTAATTTTAGAATTATTTTTCTAATTTTCTGAGGCAGGATTTTAGATTACTGTGTTGAGAGTGTTCCTTTTAATTATGTGAGCATTGATACTATATATGTTTCTCTCGGCACTGTTTTAGCTACATCCCATATATTTTGATACGTTGTACTTCCATTTTCATTAAGTTTTATGTATTTTTTTTTTTTTAAATTGCCTTTGCTACGTCCTCTTTGGCCAATGGATTACTTAGAAGTGTGTTGTCTAATTTCCACATATTTAGAGATTTAGCTATTGTTTATCTTATTGATTTCTAGATTCATTCTCTTATGAATAGACAACCCACTCTACATGATTTTAATTCTTTCAAATTGAATGAGGTTTGTTTTATGGTTTATACTGGTAAATGTTGCCTGAGTGTCCTATATATGTTGTTTAGATATGCTATAACCTTGAAGATTTTCTATCAGTTTTTACTTTATGTATTTTGAGGCTCTGTTATTTGGTGTATGCACAGTGAGGATTGTTATTTGATTTGATTATTTTATCATTGTGTAATGTCCTTCTTTATCCTTAGTAATTTTATTTACCTTGAAATCTGCTATTTTGTTGGGGGTATTAATATAAAACTCACTGCCGTCAAATCGGATCCAACTCATAGCGACCCCTCTTTGGGTTTCTGAGGCAGTATCTCTATGGAAGTAGATTGCCCAGTCTTCCTTCCAAGGAGTGGCTGGTGGGTTTGAAAGAAAAACCTAAAAAAAACCGAACTCACTGCCTGCTGTGGAGCTGATTCCAATCCATAGCAACCCCCATTGGGTTTCTAAGGCTGTAAATCTTTACAGAAGTAGATTGCCCCATCTTCTTTCCACGGAGCAGCTGTTGAGTCTGAACTGCCAACCTTCTGGTTAGCAGACAAATGCCTTATCCACTACACCACCAGAGCTCCTTAATATAGACATTCCAGTTTTTTTAAAAAATAATACTTGCATGGTATATCCGTTTTCACCCTTTCACTTTTAACTTACTATGCTGTTAAATTTTGAAGTGAGTTTCTCATAAACAACGTATAGTTAGGTTACACTTTCTTTTTAAACCATTCTGCCAATTCTGTTTTTCAAATTATGTATTGAGACCATTCATATTTAAGGCAATTTCTGATCCATTAGGACTTAAGCCTGTCACTATCTTACTTGTTTCTGTTCCTTCGCTCTGGTTCTTGTTCCTGTTTATCTGTTAGTACCTTCCTGAGGGTTACTTGAACATTTTTAGGATTCCATATTCAGTTATAGTGTTTTTAATTGCATGTCTTTGTATAATTTTGACAGTGGTTGTCATGAATATTTCAAATTCATTGGCATAAAGTTGTTCCTAAGAACCTCATATTTTTTAACATTGACAGTATCTGTAGTGATATTATCTTTTAAATTTGTAATTTGAGTTTCCCTCTCTTCTCTCTCTTTTTCTTTAGCAGTCTTAACAGTCTTGCTGAAGTTGATCGATTATGATACTTTTTGCCTTTTTTTTAAACTTATTTTTCTCTATTGCACATTTGTTTTATATTTTAGTAATAAATCATTATTATTATTATTTTATCATTTCTTTCCTCCTACTTTCTTTAAGTTTGAATTGCTGGTTCAATTTCTTTATATTTAATTAATTATTTACTTACTTTGTTGTTGTTGTTATGTGCCATCGAGTCAGCCCCGACTCATAGCGACCCCTCGTTTCCGAGGCAGTATCACTACGGAAGTAGGATTACCCAACCTTCCTTCCGAGGAGTGGCTGGTGGGTTTGAACCATCAGCCTTCTGGTTAGCAGGCAAGTGACTTAGCCACTATGCTACCAGAGCTCCCTATTTACTTACTAGTTTGTTGAAATAGAAGCTTAGGTTACTGATTGTCAACATTTCCCCTTTTCTTAAACAAGAATTTAAGGTCCAGAATTTCGCTCTGTTTATCACTTTAGCTGCACGTCAAAAGCTTTGATACATGCCTTATCTTCATTGTCATTTGATTTCTCCTTCGGCTCATGAATTATTTAGGTGTGTCTTGTTTAGTTTCAAATACTAAGTAAGCTTCTAGATGCCTTTTACTTATTGTGTTCTAATTCTATTGTGGTCTATAGAGTTGACCTTTGGAAAACTTTTGTAGCTTTAATTTTTTTAATACTCAGCTTGTGCTTGGTTTTGCAAATGTTCTATGTGCACTTGAACATCATGGGCATTTTTTTCTTTTTGAGCTCATTGTTCTATATTTGTTAATTTGTCAAATTTGTAAATTGTATTGTTCAGATTTTTAGATCCTTACTGACTTTTTGGCTGATTCTTCAATCATCCTGATTGTGGGTTTGACTATTTCTTCACTATTTCTGTCAAGTTTTGAAGGTATTTTATAGGAAGCTTACATTGGACTGTAACGTTCTGGACTGATAGTAGAGAACCTTATTGTTGATGGGTGAGTGAGTATAAGGATAGATTTTCTCATTCCTCAGCTAATGAACTCCCTCTTCTGTAGGTACAAGAATAATTCTTTTTTTTTTTTTTTTTTACAAATGACAGTGCTTCCCATTGTTTCTTTTACACTTACTATACCTTCTCTCTTTCTGTCCCTCAGTGCTTGTGCCATGTCTTATTGTTTTTTAAATTTTTACCTGAAGAAATTTCCACTTCCTGTGGGGCATTATCTTTCTGGGGCTAAAAGTGTTTTGGTGTTTTAAAAGTTCTTCTATTGTTAGAACCCCTCACCATTCCAAGTTTTTCCCAACTATACCTCTGGCCCCATCCTCATTTTATAATCTTATGACTACTAGAGCATGCTGTAACTTTTGTCTCTACTTTGAAGTGTGTTAGTTTTCCTGTTCTTCATTTCACTGGTGGCTTAGATTGTCAGGTTGTTGTGTTAATCTCCTTTTGTTTTATGCACTTAGGAAGAGTGGAAAATTGGTAGTAGGCTAGAATTTTGTTCCTGCTAGAACATGGAATTTGTAAGTTGAAAAATTCTTTCTTTCTTTCTTTTTTTTTTTGCATATAAATATTTAAAAAATTGTCTAACTCTTAATTATAATGTCAAACATAAGGTTATGGTCATGTGCTCTTTCCATCTATCTGATTTACTATGCTACTTTTGTTAGTTTATTATCATTTTATTGGTTCCACATTTATCATGTATATCGGTCTTCCTTAATTTTGTCATATGTGAATTTAGCTCTAGTATTCTTAATCATTCCCCACACTATAGCTCATCCTGACCAAAGGAAACCAAACCTTTTGCTGTGACCCATAGCAACCCAATAGGACAATGTAGAACTGTCCTGCAGAGGTTCAGAGTCTGTAAATCTCTATAGAAACAGACTGCTACATCTTCCTCCTGTAGAGTAGCTGATGAGTTTGAACTGTTGACCTTTTGGTTGAAAGCCAAGCTTAATCAGTGGACCACCAACTCATCAATACACACCCTCTGTTTATTTTCATTCAGAATGGTCCTTTCTAACTGAGTACAACTGCACCATAGTGTTTCCAAGGCTGTAAATCTTCAAGGAAGCAGATTGCCTCATCTTTCTCCCATGGAGCAGTTGGTGAGCTTGAATCGCCGACTTTTTGGTTAGCAGCAGAATGCCTTAACCAGTGTGCCACAGAGCTCCTTAACTCATCTCTAGGTGACTCCAAATGGTAAACTTGCTTCACTTAAATCCTACAGTATAAACTGCTATATTTTCTCTTCAAAGCAATGGAGAATGTCACCATTGTGAATGAATTCCTTTTACTTGGTCTGACCAGTGTTCCTGAGTTGCAGCCTTTCTTCTTTGCGGTTTTCTTCATAATTTACATGATAAATTTGGTTGGAAATGGAGCTATATTAATCATTGTTATCTTGGAACCCAAACTCCACTCCCCTATGTATTTTTTTCTGGGAAACCTTTCCTGTCTGGATATTTGTTATTCTTCAGTGACACTGCCCAAGGTGCTTATAAACCTCCTTTCCACTAGGAAAACCATATCCTTCCTAGGCTGTGTTGCTCAGCTCCACTTCTTCCATTTTCTGGGAAGCACAGAGGCCATCATACTAGCTATCATGGCCTTTGACCGATTTACAGCCATCTGCTACCCACTGTGCTACATGGTCATCATGAACCCCCAGGTGTGCATTCTGCTAGCAAGTGTAGCATGGCTCACTAGTTTCTTTTATGCCCTGATGCATTCAGTCATGACCGCACGCCTGAACTTTTGCCACTCTCAGAAAGTCAATCACTTCTTCTGTGATGCCAAGCCCCTCTTGGAAATGGCTTGCAACAACACACTACTCAGTCAATGGCTTCTTTCCATTGTCACAGGCAGCATATCCATGGGAGCTTTCTTCCTGACTCTTCTCTCCTACTTTTACATTATTGCCTTCCTTCTGTTCAAGCACCGGTCCTACAGTGCACTACGCAAGGCTCTGTCCACTTGTGCCTCCCATTTCATGGTGGTATGTCTCTTCTATGGACCTGTGGGCTTCACTTACATTCACCCTGCCTCAATATCCTCTATGGTTCAGGACCGAATGGTGGCCATCATATACACTGCTGTCACTCCAGTGCTGAATCCACTGATATATACCCTTAGTAATAAGGAAGTTATGTTGGCTCTGAAGAAAATATTTAGGAGGAAGTTTTTGTTTAAAAACTGCCAGCAGCACCACTAGGGTTAATGATACTTCTATCTAGTTTCCATTAAAACTTTTACCCCATTATCTACAATCAAAGAACATTGTACCTGATTGCTATGTTTCTGTCTGGATTTTTTTTTTTTTTTTTTTTTTTTTACCAACTGTAACTAAACTCTGCATTGATATGAGCATGATAATTCAAATTTTATCCATCTACTCATTTACTTAAGGTATAGGGAGCTCTGGTAGTGTAGTGCCTAAGTCACTTGACTGCTAACCAGAAGGCTGGTGGTTCAAACCCACCAGCCACTCCTCAGAAGGAAGGTTGGGCAATCTACTTCCGTAGTGATACCACCTTGGAAACCCAAGGAGGGGTTGCTATGAGTCGGGTCTGACTTGATGGCACAAAACAACAACAACAACAATAGTTATTGCACTTGTATTATCTGTCAGACAGTATAATAGGTATAGGAAACAAGGAAGAGAACAAAACAAAGTTCACAATCTTATGAAACATAGTATAATAGAAGAACACACAAAAAAAATCCATAAATACATATGTCAGAGTAATTAAGTACTGTTGTTAGCTGCCATCCAGTCTGCCCCCACCCGTGGCTAGCCCCTGTACAACAAAATGGAGTGTTGTGGGTCCTGGTCTATCTTCATGATCATTGGTATGGTCAAGTCCATTGTTGTGGTCACTGTGTATTTTGAATAACTTCCCACTTAGGGTTTCATTTTCCAGCAAGATATTGGACAATATTCTGTTGTAATGCATAAAGTTGTGGTTGACTTTCTTCCTGATCTGTCTTAATTTGGAAGGTTCTCTGAAGTCTGTCTGCTATTGGTGACCTGGCTACTGTTTGAAATACTGGTGGCATAGCTTCCAAGATCACAGCAACATTAAGTCACCATAACATGAAAAACTGACAGATGGGTGGTGAAATTAAGTGCTAGGCAAAACTAAATGAAGATAAGAAGGATAGAGAGGAATGAGGAAGAGCACTATTTTGTATAGTGTTGTCAGAGAAGGCTGCTCTATATGCTATTTCATCTGAGACCTGAAGGAAGGGAGGGATTGAGCTATGCAGACATCCCAAAAACAGAATTGTAAAGAAAGGTAACAGGAAAAAAAAAAAATCTCCTAAAATGGGATATATATATATTTTTTTTTTGAGATAAAGCAAGATAGCCAATATAATTGCAGTTCAATGGCAAGTGAGGACTGGTAGGACTTGCTATCAGAGAAGTAATTGTACTATGCAGAACATTTTTGAGATTTTGCATTCATTTGGGATGAAGAACAGTACACATCTATTGTTTTGTCTCAGGGCAATAGGAATTCTCTGGCTCTTTGTCAAAAGTTGTCCAAATGGATCTTGACAGTCTATAAAATAATGCAGAAAATATCACTGGTTCATTATATTGGTAATATCATATTAATTGGATCTGTTTAGCAAGAAATGGCAAGATGTACTGGTAAGAAATATGTACTCCAGAGGCTGGGAGGTAAACTCTGAAAGATTCATAGGCTTTCTGCGTTGGTAAAAGTTTTAGAGGTCCAGTGATCTGAGGCATGCTGTTTATCCCCTTCAACAAAAAAGTCAACTTATTGAATCTTGCTCCTCCTATCACTAAGTAGGAGGCACAATGCTTCGTATGTGTTTTTTTCTTTTAATTTTGGAGTCAGCATAATTCATATATGGGGTTCTAGATATTTGACTGCATTGAGTGGGCCTCAGAATAAAAGAGAGATTTTCAGCAGGTCCAGGTTCTGGGACAAGTGGCCATGTTGCTTGGAGTCATATGATCTAGGATACCCCATAATGCTAGGGGGATTTAGAAAACCCTAACACAAGAGTTGGAACACATACCCCTTTGGGGTTTAGAACAAAACTATGCCCTGTACAGCATGTAACAATGCTTGATTATTAAAACAACTCCTTCCATGTTACTGGGCTTTGCTTGAGTGTGAGCATCTGATCATGTGACATCAAACGACTATGTAAAGGGAATTTCTCACCATAAGCTGGGTGTCCCTAGACCTACCAAGTGATACATTTTCATGAATATGGAAGCAATCCAACATTCAAGAAAGTGGTATATCTGGAATTTATCCACAGCTTATGCAAAGGCATATTAAATACATGAATTAGTTTCCCAACTCCCTTTGTTAGTTATTCAGTTGCAACAACTATCCCTTAACTCATTGTTATGACCTCATAAGAGGGTTCTCTTGTCCAGTTGACCAAGAAGAAAAATACCTTGACCTAGTTTACAGATGAATTGGCTTGCTTTTATTGTGAACTGAAAATAAATTGCTGTTTAATAAATTGCTGAAATCATGGGAGTCCCTGAAAAATAATGGTGAGGGGAAGTATCTCCAGTGGGCAAAGCTTCAGTAAGGCATCTGGTCATCATTTAAGTGAGGGAAAAGTGGCCCAAGACAAGTGTTACAGAAATACATGGGCAGTAACAAATGTCATGTATATTCACCTCATCTCTATTTACTTACTGGAAAAAATTCAGCTGACCTAAATGCTAGAGAATAAAGTCAACTTATGGGGAGATCCTTTATTATACACTATGAAGAACAAAGATGTAAAAGCAACTACAACAACAACAAAAAAAACCCCTATGAGATTTATAATGAGGAAGTGGCTTTTTTCTAAAAAGGGGTTTTCAGGTAATGAATAATATCAACATACATGGAAAAGAAAAAAAAAAGTGTCTGATATGGCCAGTGAATAAAAGGGAAATAGGAAAATACTCAATTATCTGTAATGATTGATGAAAATGCTATTATGCATATTGATAAACTGCTAATAATGCAAAATCTATTACTGTTTCTTTTTGGAGTGAAATAGCCACACATAGATACCTTCAAATGATGACTGTCTTGGCATATCCATCTAAATGCTCCAACTCAGTATGAAAATCAGTAGTTAAGAATCTAGCAAGCGTTCAAGACTTGGCAATCTTTAGCAGATAATCAATTGGTCAAGAATTGATGGTTGATTTTAAACCCAAGATGATGATTAAGAACCTTATTAATCTAGGAACAATAATTCTTTAATCCAATTGCTCCATTTTGTTAGCAGGTAATTCAACGGTTAGAAATCAAAAGATTGGTAGTTATTGTTTTCATGTGTTTCAATTCTCAAATCATTACATTGCCAAAACAAGCTTAATAAATGGTTTCATGTTTTTAGTAGTGTTTTCAAAATAATCTCAAATCAAGAAATCATACACTTTATTTTGCTTGTTATGTCCAAAAGGAATATTTCTTATGTTAGAAAATATGTGAAAACTATGGCTTCTTTAATAAGTTTTTGATACATTTTCAAAATAGAAATGTCATGTTTGGAAATCATTATGTCTTTATGTTTATTGAGACTTCAACACATACGAGACAAGAAAACTCATGTTATTGTTGGGACAAGAAACTAAAATTTTACTCTGCAAACCTATATACCTGCATACAACCACTACAGCAAACAGTGAACGTTCATTCACATAAGGAAATGAAAGCTAGTGCCCTACACTATTTTGTACCCTTTTCCTACTACTGGGTTATAAAAGGAGAAAGAAAGAAAATGACTAATGGGGTGAGCCTAAATTTGAAATTTGTGATATTATGCAATAATTAAAAATATATGCATCAGATTTCTTTCAGATTCTATCTATTGGTGTTGTTGCTATTGCTGTTTCTCAGCCCTGCTTCATTTGGAGGTATTTGGTTTGGGTATTGCATGAAGATTGGAATGGAGTCAGCTGTGGTGTAGTGAAAGGAGTGCTAGATTTGAATTTTTTTTTTTTTTTTTTTGGTAAAATATTGCCTCTGGTTTTTAATTTATTTACTTGTTGCTGTTTGGAATATACACAGCAACACATGTGCTTGCTAGTCTAGACTTGCTAGTTTGAAGCTTGATTCTGCTGATTACTACATGTGCTGTGGATTTAGATAAACTCCTTAATTTTGTTTCCCGGCTTCAGTGTTTTTTGTTTCTTTCTTTTCTTTCTTCTTCTCCTCCTCTTCCTCCTCCTCCTCTTTCTTCTTCTATAAATAAAAATTGTTTCCTCACAAGATTTTTGAAAATATTAAGATGAAGTTACATTATAAAATGTAAATTGCTATGCAAATTTTCATTATTCTTACTAAAATTTATATAATACCATAGATTTACTCAAATAACACATGCTGTCCAAGTTTGTTTGCCAATCACACCCTCCCCACCCCAAGGTATTTTTGTAAGTGCCACTTTGCCAGTTATTTTTACGTGTTGTAAAAAAATTAGCGTAGCACACTTATGAAAATATCTTGTTGAGGAAGGGCAACAAGCAAAAAAAAAAAAAATGACATAGTGATGTTTATGAAAATACCTTATGGGGTATGGTGTGGTTGACAAATAAACATGGAAAGCATATGTACAAATATATGAAGGCATACATTATTAGCATAAAAGTACAGTAATATAAAATAGATGACATTTATGCTTACTGTAGTTTAATTTTAGTTGCTTAAAACACTATTTATAAATCAATCTCAACTAATTTATTTATTTATTTTTTTTTTGTAAAACATTGCCTCTGATTTTTTATTTATTTTCTTGTTGCTGTTTGGAATATACACAGCAATACATGTACTAATTCATCCATTTCTTCATAATTTGGTGACATTGATTATATTCTTTGAGTTATGCAACCATTCCCATTCTTCCTTTCTGAATTCTTCTTCTTCTATTAGCATAACTCACTGCCCCCTAAGGTTTCTATCAAATCTTTTAAGTTGCTATTATCACTTCGATCCCATATAGATAGTTCTCAAAAGAACATAATACTCAAGCAGACATTTTTCACTAGTTAAGTTAGATTATTGTTTGGTTTTAAAAAGATTTTAGAGAATATTTTTATTTTAAGGTTTAAAGATTAAATCAGGGCAATAGTTTCAGGCATTCACCCAGGCTCCATGGCTCCATAGCTCCAGAAATCTGGAGTCTATAAGAAATTTAAATTCTGTTTTGCATTTTCTCCCT